TTTCCTATGAAGGGTGTTATGAGGTTCGAGAAGAAGGGAAAGTTGAGCCCTCAATATATTGGACCTTTTGAGGTGCTACAATGGATTGGAGATGTGGCTTACAAGCTTGTATTGCCGCCTAGTCTATCGAGTGTCCATCTAGTGTTTCATGTTTCTATGCTCCGGAAGTATGTCGGCGATCCATATTATGTTTTGGATTTTAGTACAGTTCAGCTAGATGGTAATTTGACTTATGATGTGGAGCCGGTGGCCATTTTGGATCGGCATGTTCGAAAGTTGAGGTCAAAGAACATAGCTTCAGTGAAAGTGTAGTGGAGAGGCCAGCCAGTCGGGGAGGCTACCTGGGAGGCCGAGTGAGGGATGTGGAGTAGATATCCACACCTATTTGAGACTCCAGGTATGTTTCTGAACCCGTTTGAGGACGAGCGTTTGTTTAAGAGGGGGGAATATAACGATCCGGCCGGTCATTTTGAGTATTATAGCTTTGTTTCCCCATTTACTACTTATTTTATGTTCAATTATTGTTATGTGACTTGTCAGGGCAGTTGCTTTGGTTTCGGGGAGATTTCAGAATGAATTGAGACACTTAGTCCCAAGGTTGTAAGCTTAAGTTGTAAGAGTTGACCGAATGTCGACTTATGTGTAAACAATCCGGAATAGAGTTTTGATGATTCCAATAGTTTCGTATGGTAATTTTGGACTTAAGAGTGTGTCCGGATAGTGATTCGGAGGCCCGTAGTTGAATTTGGCTTGAAACGACGAAAGTTGAAAAATTATAAGTTTTGGAAATTGAGAAGTTTGACCGAGAGTTGACTTTATGGTTATCGAGCTCGAATTTTGGTTCTGGAAATTTTAATAGTTTTGTTATGTCATTTATGACTTGTGTGCAAAATTTAAGGTCAATCGGACTTGAAATGATAGGTTTCGGCATCAAATGTAGAAGTTAGAAATTCTTAGAGGACTGGGGGCGCATGTACGAAAGAAGCTCCGCAAATACGGACTCGCATCCGCGCGTTTGTGATCGCAGATGAGGAGATTGGCTGGAAGCTGTAGCTCGTAGAAGCGACTAAATTGTCTGCAAAAGCGGGGCCGCAAGTGCGGTCAATTGTAGCGAAGGTGCGAAAGCACTGGGCAGAATTCAAAACGGAGGGGTTCCGACATTTTTGTCATTTTGAGACTTTGGGAGCTCGGATTGAGACGAGTCTTGGAAGAATTTTCAAGAAAATTGGGGTAAGTGATTCTAACATAGAATTGGTTAATATACATGAATATATCATTATTTTCGTTATTTAATTAGCGTTTGGGTTGGAAATTGTAAAAAATTTCATAAACTTTAATTCAAGGATTGAGGGCCGAGTTGTGGTCGGAATTTAGTAATTTTGGTATGGTTGGACTCTTGGTTGAATGGACATTCGTATTTTATAACTTTTTTCGAGTTTCGAGATGTGGGCCCCACTGTTAACTTTTGAGTTGACATTTCGGATTTTAATATGGAACTTAGTATTTTCGTATTGAATTGATTCCTATAATTTGTGTTGAGTATATTGAATTGTTTGTGACTAGATTCGAGGATTTTGGAGACCGAATCGCGAGGAAAAGGTTTATTGGAATAAAGAAGTTGCACGACTTGAGGTAAGTAATACTTCTAAACTTGATTCTGATAGTATGAAATCCTTGAATTACGTATTATCTGATTAGTGTAGAGGTGACAGACATATGAGCGTGCACCGTAGAAGTTGTGACTCATGTTAGAAATCATGCTTAGGCCATTTGCTGGTGTTATTGGGACCCACAGAGGTCGTGTTGCTGTTAAATTACTTACTTAATTTACAATTAAGTACTCAGTCATATCTAACATTTGCATATCTCATCTCAGAATCTGTTGTTATTTATTGATACATCATATTATCATTTTTGGGTTGCTTTTTCATGACATTGTGAGCCCGAGAGATTGGAGAGATTGATGACTAAGTGAGGCCGAGGGTCTGACTGTGAGGATATTTATGGGATCGGGTTGCACGCCGCAACAGGCTTTATTGATTCATGTCATGATTGGCATATTATTATAGCGCTTGGGCAGGATCCACCCCTCCGGAGTCTGACTCACCAGTAGTGAGCGCATGTACCTATTGAGTGTGAGTGCCGAGTGATTTGGAAGGATTTAGTGACTGTGAGGCATGAGTGACTGTGATGACTGAGTGACTGTGAGGCATGAGTGACTGTGATGACTGAGTGACTGTGAGGCATGAGTGACTGTGAGGATTTAGTGAATGGGATGACTGAATGAATTGATACTCAGAGAGTATGCATATGATTTTTATCACTACATTGCATTACAGTTGGCATGCATAATTGATATGCATATATAGAGATGTATCATTCCTCATCCCAGTTATACTTGGCATATTTTACCTGTTTTGAGCTTAAACTATTTTACTCGAAATCATGTCTACATTCCTGCTCTGTTATATCCATATTTGGGTTGTGCCCATTGAGCTCATCACTACTTTCAGCTCAAGGTTAGGCTTGTTACTTATTGAGTTGGTTGTACTCATACCATACCCTGCACTTCATGCGCAGATCCATGTACTTTCAGGTACGGTGGTTGTTGATTTCAGAGTTTTTATCAGTTTCAGAGATTCTCGAGGTAGCTGTTTGGCATCCGCAGACCTAGATTCTCCTTTCTTTCAATTAATTGTACTGTTCGACATTTCTAGACAGTGTTTTTATCAGTCAGACTATGGTTTCCTTTAGATACTCATGTACTCAATGACACCCGAGTTTTGGGAGTGTATTGTATTGAGATACGGTATTTATTTATCTGTAATTATGAGATTTCACTCGTAAGTTTAATTTATTATGTTTTCAAACTTATGAATGTGTGATTTATTGTGGTTATTGGCTTGCCTAGTATTGCGATAGGTGCCATCACGACAGGTGAGATTTGGATAGTGACAACGACCCCCTTCTTTCTTAGGCTAGGTATCTCTTAAAAAGGTTATTTTTTCATTTCTATTTCTTATGTAACTATTATTCTTGTGATCCTTATGAGTAAATTATGTACATGTACGTATAGCCTATTCGGCCGTGCTTCTTTTTTACTACAAGTATTTTGGGCCAAAAGTTTTTTTTCTAAGTTAAGGTATTTGGCCCATGTTTTAAGACAAAAAGGTGCTTTGAGCAAAAGCAGGAGCAGTTTTTGAGAAAAAATATTTTTTTCTCCGAAAATACTTTCTAAAAAAGTACTTTTGAGAGAAATATGCTTTAAAGCATTTTTTAAAAAGTTTGGTTAAACACTAATTGTTATTCAAAAGTGTCTTTAAATTGATTAGTCAAACACAAAATGTTTCTCGCCAAAATCACTTTTTTTTTAAAAACACTTTTGAGTAAAAATATTTTCAAAATAAGTTTGAATTTAAAAGTACGGTTAAACAGGCTATAAGTCTGTCATGTGGTCTTTCATTAATGAGCCACGACAAGATGCTGCTTTACAAATGTTTCTCTTTTCCCGGGAATATATAAGGGAAAATTTTGGTTAATTATGGGATATAATATATTTTTGGTGTTCCCCAGCTCTGGCTTAAAAACATGAGGGTAGAACAAGGAAGTTTGCCTGAGATGAACAAAGAAGAAGAAGACATTAATTTTTGTCATTATTGTTCCTAATGGAAACACATGGAAAAGTGCTTCAACATATTCCAACCAAAGTTCAAGCATGTCATACACTTAATAACGAATTGACCGTAAAATAAAGCAGCAAGAGGAATGCATACAGTTTATAATTAGGATACATATTAATTTTTCTCCATTAGTTTCCTAGGAGAAATTAGAGCTGCAAAGCACACGAAAAGACAATAGGTTGAAGCTCATATCTCTTCTATATGAGAAATGATGGTCGCAATATTAACTACATAGATTCGCCACCCATCAATAATTAAAGGTGTACTCCTCAGAGAGAATATATTCATATTGACAAGACAAAAATACCAATTGATATTACCTACTCAAACTTATGAATGTACAGCAGTGGAGACATGTTTTATTGCTTCGTTTACTTTTTCAGATTGCAACAGTACAATTTTGAGCAACCAAACCATAGAGTGCGAAACTTCTTTCAGTTAACACAGAAGCAAAAATACAAGAATTCATTATTGCACAACCAAACTAGTTTTCGTAATAATTTTCTATCTATTTTTGTGGTGTCAGAAGTTAGTTTGGGCCTATTGGCCAAGGATGGAGCCTATCATTTTACAGATAATCCATTTAATACAACGACGAAGAATCATGGTTCTAATTTCTTTTAAGAAGAACTGGATGCTAGACCCATTAAAGCAAAAGAGCAGTCACTAACAAGTGACCAGACAATTTTAACAAAAAAATAAATTTATAAATTAATGGAAAAACGTAACACCCGATCGTTGACTTAGGAGTCTCTTTCAGTTTCAGGGAGCAAATAAACTGGATCACCCTGCCAAAGACAGTGAGTCTCTTTTAATCTTAAAATATATTATCATGTGAACTGCCAATTAGGAATATCAGGAGAAACAAGCCAAGTATAAAAAAAACTTCTGGTTGGATTAAAAAAGAGGAATGAGATCATCAAGTTATGGTGAATATAATAGTATCGTACAGGAATAAATCCATTTCCTCGCCCCACCAATCACCAATAAACGATACTAAGCATCTAAAACTACCCTGGTTTATTTTCTTAATCTCTCTTCTTCCCTTTATTGATTCCCTAGTTCCTGAGTCATTTCAATGTTAAATAATATTCCAGTACAAATATTATAGACCAAGAGAGAATGAATAAATAACACTGACGCCAGGCATGCAAATACTTGAAAACTGATTCTCCTCTTTCAGCATTTAATTTGTTCTACTTGTGGTTTCTAAAGGGGACGGGTCACCCCTTTGATTCTTCCATTTGCTAAAATTTATTCTCCAACTGGCAGACCCCACCACCTTTTCCCTCTGTTATATATATAGAGCTCCCTCAACAGCATCTCAATACACAAGCCTCACTGACTTCAGTCATTGTCCTCACTACAACTACCTTCATTCCAATTTATTACATAGTTTTCAGGTTTTGCTCAAGCATTATTTCTCTTTAGTTTCAGTTAGTCATTCATTATTTTCTCTGTATTTAAGGCATTTTATCGTCCGCGACAACACAGTTTCAATATCAAACAATGGCATCAAATTCACTATCTGCTTGGACACCAAAAGAAAACAAGAAATTTGAGCAGGCACTCGCTGTCTATGACAAAGACACACCTGACCGTTGGCAAAACATTGCTAAATACGTTGGTGGAGGAAAATCAGTTGAAGATGTTAAGCAACACTATGCTATCCTTATAGAAGATCTCAAGCACATTGAGTCCGGTGACGTCCCATTCCCAAAATACAGGTCAGGAGGAAACTCTCGCTAAGCTAATCAAGAAACCAGTTGCAGGTAAAAATCATGTTATTTCCTAGTGTTTTCTGGCTCGAACTATATGTACAGATGTGATAAATTTTAAGATATCTACATATGTTATTCTGAATAGGTGATATACTAGGAAACTCAATGCTGGTAAAAAGCATAATCCAATTGGATTAATTACTCCATTTATAAATTAAAAATAGCTTCAGTTAATAAATGGTCAAAAACAATTTCTGACCAAGCTCCTAATCATTAGTATTATAAATATAAAGGTAATGCCTGGCCACATTCCATTCAACTTAGCTTCTTATCTTGTCATTGAGTCCACATGAGATCTAATCCCCCTTGCCTTTTTGGATAACATTCCTAGGGTCCAATACTTTCTAAATATAGTTAGGGGTTGAGAGACTCGCATGCAAAATAAAAGCCTCCACTTCTGTTCATGTAGATACTCCGTACCCGACCATTATCTTACTCAATATTTTATTCCTTACTTTGAAATCTTTGGGATTCTAAAACTAGCATAGTGGCACTATACTTTAACGTATCAACTGTCAATTCATGAGATGCGTCAAACTTCAACTTTGAATCTACTTATCCTTTTTTGCCTCTATTTTTGTTTTAAATAAATAATTTAAAGTAAGTACTGATCAAAGCCTCTCTTTATGCAGGCGTACGAGGTATAATTTATGCCAATATAAAAACCATTCAAGTCGAAGACCTAAGCGTACGCTGGAGATTACGGAAAGAAATATTACTCTCAAGATGTACACTAGTATTATTTTCTTCTTCTAGCTAGGCTGATGTGTTACCATTGTATTACCCTAATATCCTTTTGAATAAAAAATCATATTACATTTTACGGACGATAAGTAACTATACTGTGCTTCTGTAATGCCAAACGTCTCATCACAATCACAAGAGAATAATCCTGCACACAAATTTCATATTATACACTGAAACGAGCGATTAAGACATTGAAAAATCATAAAACACGTATATGTGGAAATTGGAAATAAGTGGAGATTATTCAATGACTAACAGAATATGCCCCAGTTGATGATGCCGTTGAGAGATTATACGGGGGCGTAATTTAACATAAGGTTTAAAACAGAGTTCTTAATATAGGAGTATTATGTTCTAAATGAGCTATACTGTGGCAGATTGGGTTGCATGCTCGACATCGCAGTAAATGACTAGCAAAGCTTCTTAAAGAAATTGGTCACGGATAGATCTTTCGGAACGACATTCGTGTGACTGATCTAGATGCAATACGAAATCCGAGGATTCAGTTGAATCCAACAATTCTTAGATGTATTTGCAAAAAATTATACTAGCATTTAATTTTAAGAAATATTAAATTGCAAACCCATAATTTTAAAGAAAAATGCAATTGGTTCAGTGGTTAAATTCAAAGAGTGAACCCATGTCAAGTTTAATATCTTTAATCCGTTTCCAGGTATGATTTAGTTTGTTCACTGTATCATTATATTACACTATATGCTCAATTAAACCCAAAAAAAGCTCAACCGTAAAATCATAAAGGTAAGTAAGTACATGTAGAGTGTGAGTTGGACATGACTGCGCAGCCCAAAGAAAGAGATTGAAGTCCAAAGTGCGCACCTCTAATGCATAGGAAAAATGAGAATCAAAATAGCAGGGGAGGTAGAATTTGGCCCCGGAATTCAACTGAACCCAGTACTTTTGACGCGGAACATAAATTAATGTATAAAAATTTATTAAAATTGTAATAAATTAAATGGTAGGTCTGAACCCATAACTTTAAAATATAATGGGTTCAATGTTAAAAATTTCAAAAGTTGAACCCATAAAATCTAAATCATGAATCTATAAAATAGTACGAGGAGAATTTATTAGAGTACCACTTTTGACCAAATTAAGTCAAGGTTTTGTAGCCTAATGCATAAGTCAAGAATTGTTTACCCTCCAAACATAGGATGGAATTAATAATATTACGTACAAGAAGTTACAAAATATTTCTGAAGTTGTATAATATATGGATGATTAGTTTTGGGTCATTCGTTATGATAATTTTTTCAAGTAATCATTAATTCATCGGTTATCTCATGTTACATTTACAGCTTCATTTAATAAAACAGTTTGTTAACAATCTGAAAAGCATATTTCTTTCTATCTGAACAGATTTAGGTTCAAATGGAGAATTCAAATGGATTATTGAGATAGTTGAAAAAACAAGAGAAAGAGAGAGAGGAAATTAAAAGGAAAGAACTTTTTAACAGATAAATTCGGAAATTTACCCGCTGGTTGAGAGCGGAATCCGCAAAGCTGTAAGAAAATTACCCACAAAATATTCGACGGCAGAGACCTGGTCTTGGCCTTTTTATTACGTGGCAGTAAAACAGGAGACCTCTTTTCACATACATCCACGTCGCTATTTGTCCTCTCTAAAGAACCGCTCTGTCAACTTCCAAAGTTTAAACTCTCCCTTATATATATCTTGTTGTTTTACTCTCACCCTTCTGTAATTCGAAAAACTGAAAATTTACAATAAGAAACTGAAAAGTAGTCTTAATAAAAATACTCAGTAAATAAAAAAAATGGGAAAGAGGACAGCATTATTTGTATTGTTGGTGGCGGCGATGTTGGCCGTGAGCTGGTGTTGGGGAGAGGAAGCGGCGGAGATTGCGAAGGAGAAAGCAAATATAGCGGTGGGAGAGATGAATAACAAAGCTCAACAGGTTAAGCAAAGTGCTTCTGAAGCCATGGACGATGCTAAAGAGAAGACTGGCTCTTGGGCTGATTGGGTCGCTGGCAAATTCTCACAGTAAGCAAAATTAATTCCAACTTACTCTTTGTCATTCTTCTTTGAGGAAGTGGTTCCGTACAAATACTTTATATCTGTTGTGATATTGTCTAGGCTTATAGACGGACCATTTGGATTTTAATTAGACATATCTTTTAAAAATTTAATTCCTGTAATGTTGTTTCAGATTATAGTATACATTGTACTTCCTGGAGTCTCAAAGCATTCAATATAGAACTGCTTTTCAACTTCTCAAGATGACCCGTAATAACTTACGTAAGAGTGAGACACATAATGAATCAATTGTCAACCTTTTAGAAGGGTTAAACTAAATTGTAAGGGCAAATGACCCTCTTTTAAAAATTAAAACTTTTGATAAAAAATTTATCAAACAAATTGCTTAGGGGGGCTAACATTTATTTCATCTTTTTAAATAGATTGGAAAATATCGAAACAGGGGGAGAGTAGAGATCAACTTATTTCAATTTTCATTTCATATTTATTAATCGGACAAGTCTTAGAGTGTTTAAAAAAAAAATGAAAAAAATGAAAGAACTAACTCAAATATGCCAATAATCTGAGAGAAGGTTTAAAAAATTATTAAATGGGCTACGCAATGCTCGTTAGATACTCTCTGTTACAAAGTAAATTACGTAGGTTGTTTGTTGTTGCCTTCAGGTCGAATGACCTATATGTTTTTTCAATATTTTGAAACAACACATACGTAACTAGGTGCATTGCATTCGATGAGCCGACCATTGCTAAATTGTTCGCAAGAGAATGCTCTAAAAGATTTGCGGGATTTATTCACCCTTATTTTCAGGTATCAAGACGATGCAAAAGACGAAGCCCAAGGGTTAATGGATAAAGCTAAGGATACAGCATCAACTGCTAGAGATTCCATAAATACTGCAGCACATGGTAATTTTCCTCTTGAATTCAAAGCTTTAGTGAAGCCGAGGAGATGAGTTCGGCTACTTCCTTACTTTGTAGTACGTTGAAAGAATTACTACTAATATTCAGCGTTTTTCTATGCAGGAACCCAAAAGTATGGTTCTCAAAAGGCTAGTGAAATGGCTGACATGGCATCCGACAAATTTGGTGATGCTAAAAATCTTGCTTCCGAGAAGGCCAATCAAGCTATGGATGCAGCTGCAGATACCGCTCGTCATGCCAGTGAAAGAGGAAAAGAAAATGCATATGACACTTATGCCTATGCATCGGAGAAAACTGGTAAAGCCACAAACATGGCTACCGATTTTGCCAAAGATAAAGCTCATGATGCTTATGCCTCCGCATCTGATAAGGCAGGTCGAGCCACTAACATTGCTTCTGATATGGCTGCTGACGCCAAAGAAAGAGCCAAACATAAAGCTTATGATGCCAATGATTTTGCCAAAGAGAAAGCTCATGATGTTTATGCCTCCGCATCTGATAAGGCAGGTCGAGCCACTAACATTGCTTCACATATGGCAGCTGACGCCAAAGAAAGAATTAAGGATAAAGCTTATGATGCCCATGATTTTGCCGAAGAGAAAGCTCATGATGCTTATGCCTCGGCATCGGATAAGGCAGGTCGAGCCACAGACGTTGCTTCAGAAAATGCAGCTTCCGAAATGGGTAGTTCAGCTAAAGAGAAGGTTAAGGATAAAGCTTATGATGCCTATGGTTTTGTAAATAACAAAGCAGGTCAAGCAATGGAAAAGGCTTCAGACATGGCCGGTGATGCCAAAGAAATGGGTAAAGATAAAGCTTATGGTGCTTACGGTTATGCATATGACAAGATGGACCAAGCAAGGGACAGGGCTTTTAACATTGCTGGTAATTCAAAAGACACGATGAAAGCCAAAGCATCTGATGCATATGATTTTGCCTCTGGTAAAGCGGATCAAACCATAAGAATGGCTACTGATAGAGCCAACGATGCGAAAGAGAAAGCATTTGACGGATATGAGGGTGCGAAATCAAAGGCTTATGAAACTTATAGGTCTGCTAAACAAAACATGAATGGACAAGTCAAGGATAAGTATGAAACTGCAAAAGAGAAGGCTTCGGAAGCTACAGGCAAAGTTGGAGCAAAGATGAGAAGTGGCGGTAAAGAATTGTGAGCAATTAGTAATAACAGCCCCTGAAAGGAAATCTCGCATAGGAAGAGGTTCCTATTAGGTGAGTGGCTTAGATTTTTACTACATTGTTTTCTTCTTTTTCTTTTTTGGTCAGCTATTCTTTTTGTAGGACAGATGAAGTTCTTCACCAACTCAATTCCGTATGGTCATCGCTTAGGTTATACTTAGTTAAAATAAAGAGAATATGTCATTGCAAAAGTGAACACGCATACTAACAAAGCTGAAAAAGTTTTTGTACCAAATGTAAAAACTTAGTACTGTGTTGAAAATGCTGTTACTATCGTTGATTTTTTGTAGTACTTCCATCATTTCAAAATAAGACTGCTGAATGATAAGACCTATGCGTAGATATTGAGACGTGTCATTGTAGGATGACCCGAAAACTGTTCCACAGTCACGTTTTGGGGTAGAAAAGACCTTTTAATAACCCGTAGATGCTAAGGGCTTTGTTGAGTGCTTATTTTTCTTGACGCCTATAGATAATGAATTCAAATTTCACAGTTAATTGGATGGTTCTATTACACTTTTTTTTGGGGAAATTTTCATCTCTACAAGGCCTATAAGAATAAATTACATTTATTACAACCATTTGCAAATTTACATTATATACAACAAAAGATTTTCTCCTATCTATATCAGTTGGCACTTGGCAAAACCCAACCGAAACGATTGAATAATTCCATATTTTAAGCCTAAAAAAGTGAAAAACTTATCAAAACAATCACTCATTTCCTAATAGTAGTCTCTCATCATCTTTTTCGGTATTTGTTTTATTCCTTCTAAAAATAGTGTCTTCACTCATAAGTTAACTTTTTAAATTTTTTTTTTGGTGAAAATAAAGTAAATATTATATAAAGACCATCAATAACAATCTGCCAAAATCNCATATATTGTGTACGTATAATTACCAAGTATATATCATTAATATACCTTACATATAATATATATTAAGTATACTATTTGAATATATCATATACGGAATGTTTATACTTATGTACCATACGTATATAGCCATCTTCAATTAATGTCAAACTCTTCAAGTAACAATTTTCCCCCTGTTTTGTCAAGATCTTAGAAGAAGTGTACGGATATTATCTAAAAAAGGAGAATAATTTAGAAGTTCTACAATTTTATAGAGAGGTACAAATTTTCAAGATGAGTTTATGATACTATCAATAACCAATATTCAAATCATATTGTCTAATAGCAAAGAATCATGGAATAGGAACATGACAATATCAGTGAGGGAAAACTTCAGCACTTTGCCGTTTCATATTTATGGCCACATATTAAAAAACTAGAAGAGAGAGAAAAAGAAAAAAAATTAAAAAAATTAAAAGGAGCATACATTTTATGTAAGGATATGTTGTTGCACGATAAAATCTCAAGATATATATATAATGATAAGTTTTAGGTGAGAGAATCTCAAGAATGATATATTAGGAATATTAAAAGTTGTAGATTTTAAAATAAATTATATTTTATGTAATTTTCTAAAAGTAGTTAGTAACTTATTTAAATAAGTCTTAAATAAGTTGTATTATGTGTAAATTCTACTTTTTTTTTTGGGCTTCCCGAGCTGGAAAACTCCACGTTATTAATGCAATTTTCTTTTCGCGAATTTATATTTTATATTTTATATGAAGATATCCTAATTAATGAAACGGTGTGTATGTACTAGAAATGCTCGGAGAAGCTCTTAAAATGATAAATGTAATGAGACGTTTATTTTAGTAAATAAAAGAAAGTAATAAAGATTTTAACTGAAGTAAACGATAAAAGCTACTCCCTCTGTGTTAACTTATGTGAACATATTTGACTGGACACGAATTTAAAAAAAAATCAAGACTTTTGAACTTATGATGTAAAACGAAGCACATATTTTGTGTGGCTATAAATTATTGCATAAAGATAAATTGTTTCTTATTATGGAACGAGGTAATTTTTTTGGCACAGATTAAAAAGGAAATAAGTTCACATAAATTTAAACAGAGGGAGTATGATATTTCTTATTAACATCAATTTTAAGGTTCATTCAATAAAAATAATAATTAGGGAAGTAATGTCTTGATTTAGTTTCATTCCTGCATAACAATCGGTCAATCACTATATATATTACAATTCATCTAATAACATCTGTATTATAATCTAGTTTAGCTATACATGTTGCCGTAAATAATGGCTTGGTCTAAGTTAATTTCTTCTCTTTTATTACCTGTTCATGTGTGATGTTAATATTAACTGCAATCGGTTCAGACTTCAGTATGTCATTTTTCAAATTCAAAATTTCAGTTAATCACAGCTTTGTCTAATACTCATACTCCGTTTGACTTAACTAATTGCATTTTACATGCAGAGAGGAGATGAAAACATAAATTGTTTCCATTGTAAACTACATAACTATAACGGAAAGTTGTGTCGAGATGCAAGTGTACAGCATAATACAAAAATTAGTTTACTGAAGGTGGACAAATACTTGGAAACACCCAAATTTAAACTCGGGAGAAGGAGAAATAAATCAAATAATTCATTCAATAATCAATAGAATGCTTATATTAGAATAGGAAACTGATGTTCTTGAGAATAACAGTATGTAACACATATCCTTTTTTTGCTGGGAAAATTCAGTAGGGTTTAGATAGTAATAAGTTTTACGTTTGTATCACATTTACGCCTTCACAAATTATCCTGCCAAGAGATTTAAAACCTTTACAACCCCTCCAGAGACTCCAAAGAAAGTGTTTAATTTGCTAACATAATAATGTCAACATCTCACATCACCTGGCTGCCTAACTATGGGTACGAAAAGATTCTGGGACATATATAGGGTCCTCTATATATATACGTACCCAATTCATTGTGGGTTGATGAATTAATGCACCAGATTATCTATAGACTATAATAAGTATACAAGGTTTCAAGCATTATGTTGGTTCTTAATCTTGAAATTCTACTTCCTACGAAGATCATAATTTACTTATATTGTGAATTTTTTATTCTGCAACAGCTATCACCGCATAAAATCACCTGTCCGAAAGTCACTGAATTGTGTCTTTCAATATAAGGGACCTGCAAAATAAATCCTTTCTTTTTCTCATTCTCGTCTCACTTAGGGTGTGTTTGGTACAAAAGAAAATGTTTTTCAATTTTCCCGTTTAGTTCGCTTAAATGTTTTAGAGAATATTTTACTCTTGAACTCATTTTTATCCCGTTGGAGGAAAATGTTTTCCCTATCAAGAGAAGGGAAAACATTTTCCAAAACTCATTCTCAACCTTCCCTACCCTATTCCCCATCCCCACCCAAGAGAAGGGAAAACATTCTTTTCATGATAAAAAAAAAGTATTTTTTTTTAATTTCAATAAAATGAGTATTTTCTTTTTGTGATATAAAAAAATTATTTTCTTTTATTTCAATAAAGTGAGTACTTTATTTTCATGTTGTAGAAAGAGTACTTTCTTTTTCTACCAAAAAAAGGTATTTTTTTTTTAGTTACGAAACACAAATTTCAACATTATTTTTACATAAAAAAGTAAAGCAACGCATTAGTTCCTTTGGATTTATGTGCCTTTTTTAGAGACTTAGGGGAAGGGGCAGGAGGTGCTGATGAGAGTAGCATAAAAAAATATTTTACTACTCTCTAACCAAACACTAAAAAATATTTTTCGGAAAAAAGTTTTCACTCACCAAACAAACAAGGGAAAATAAGTGATAAAACCACTAATTTTTCATAACATTTTCCTTGTACGAAACACACCCTTATACTAATTTGGGTATTAGTTGTGAAACTGGTTGATAAAGAAACAACGATATTCTCTTCAAAGAATACCGCAAGTAATCTAAATGAGAGGGGTAATTCTACTAGTCCTAGCAATTGTATTTCTTTGGTTGATTTGTCTTCTTATTTCCGTGATAGGAGCTGACTGACATGTCAACAACACAATACCAAAAAAACAAAACATAAAAAGCGGGACTGATTAGAAAACCACCTAGAAACCCCAATCTAATGCCAGAAAGGGGAATTAATTGAGACTTTTAGATCTAACTTAGAAAAAGGAGTAAACCTAATGGGCAATTTCTAGTTAGAATCTAAAGTACTACGGTAGATAAATATACTAAAGTCCTTCATTGTATGCTTGAACGGGGAAAGACCATAAAACACAGAACATTCAGCCTTTGAAGCTGCTAATTAGAGTTTGGAATTTGTGTGATCAAAGAATTAATTATTTGCCTAAACTCTTCCTAATCAGATTTATGCACAAAGAAAAAAGTCTCTAATATAATGAGTCTAATTTAATCAAATACGGGGTTTTGCAGTCTTGCCTTAAGTTTGTTTCCTCTTGATTGCTTGTTTGCAGTTGTGCATAAATACCTTAAACACTTGTCTCTTCACGCCCACTTCGTTACAGAACTGCTGCACTTCTTGCTCATCTTGTTTCTGAATCCTCCATCCCAGCTTCTCAGCAAATTCTTGCATTTTCTCCTTCTGTTGTTGAGTGAATTTCGTCCGAAATCTCTTCTTCGACGCCGAAAAAGTGCAAGGTTGAATAACCCCTTGCCCTCCGGCATTTGAGTTAAACATATTCAGATCCTCACTCGATGATTCAGCCGGAACTCCGCTATTCCCTCCGAAGTTCATCATCACTGGTGGCATCGGACCTCTAGAATAGCCATGAGTGTACTTATGATAGTGTTGCTGCTGCGGCGGAGCTGGAAGGGAAGGCGGAATTTGGGCGTGTATACGGTGGCTGTTGCTATTATTTCTATGCACACCAGCTGTTTGTGATTCGTCCTCAGTTTCTTTCCTATGAAAGTTGCGGTGACAATCACAAGCTGCACATTTCAGGTATTCTGGGGTTCCTTCTTCTCCACTTGGCATGAATTCTCCGCAACCGTCGAGGACATGTCCTCCCATGCTTGCCGCATGATTCTTGAGACATTCTTTGTATCGAACGGAGCTATTCTTGTCACTTGCTGAGGTTGTCGATTGCTGTCGAAGCTGTACTGCAATAACAGTCGGATCTGGATCTGAATTTTGAGTAAGATTATGCTGATGATCTAGGGTTTGGTTAGGACTGAATATGGTATTTCCATGGCTAATTTGTTCATTTCTTGTCCTATCTGGTAGACTTGAAACTATAGGAGCAGTAGGGAGTTTGGCTGCAGCAAAGGGTGTTGATTCTTGCTGGTTGAGGTGAGATGAATTAAAACCGATAGAATTGGGCATGCCCATATCCTTGTCTTGACCTGTGTGTTCCATAAATCCTAGTATCTGAAATGACTCTGATCTTAGATTTC